AAAAAAAAAAAAAAAAAAAAAAAAAAAACACATCAGTAAAATTAATACCTTCTCCGCTTCGCATCGAAGCTAAAAATCAATTTTATTTTAACTTTTTATCTTATTAAACAAATAATAAAAATATGCTTTTAAAGTAGTCCAAAACAGTAAATAGTATTTAAAAAAAAGTAAGCCGTAATATAATCGCTAGATCAAAAGTTGTTAAAGATGACAAAACCTTATGGTACACTGTATAAACACAAACTTTTATTAGATATTATGGTTGCTAACCTGAATTAATTTTATTATTTATGCTTTTACTTTTGACAGACGATAATACTACTTTGAATGGAACTTTATCGATTTTTATGATTGCCTCTCTTTTGTTTGGTTCCATAGTCAATGTTAAGCTCCTATAGTAAGTATAAACATATGATTCTACTTATTTTTCATTATTAATGTTTTTTATTTTTATAGTGTACAATGAAACCCAACCTGCAGTCTGGTTCGCTGTAGTAATCCAAACACATTGAGTTGGTACCTCCTTGAGTCGTCCGATGTCGCACGCACTTCAGTTCAATTATATTAGACCTGTCATTAGTCTGATTAGCGAATAGAGCTAACTTATTTAGATAATTTGCAGTAGTCAATCGATTATTGCGCCCGGGAGTACAAAAATCTGCGTGACTCTCACCAGCCGTCGTATATCCAGAAATGAATTGTTTAACTGATGTTCGGAAATGTGGATGTGATAAACCATATACTATTGGATTATACACAACAGATGCCTGGTTGAAGAATAATATAATTAAAATTATAATTATAATAGGTGTGGATTTTAATAGATTATAGTACAAATTAATATCTATATTAAAAAGCTATTAATAGTAAATAATATTAAGGAAAATACCCTAAGTATTTATATAAACAAAAATTATTTGGATTCGTTCATTTTGCAAAAAGTTATGACTATTTTAAGAAAAAAATGTTCAAAGTTTAACGATTTAAAAATAATAATTTTTTGGATTTACTCCATTTACAGGTAACGTGGAAAGTGTTTTCAACTAAACTGATTTTTGATATTTTGACGTTTCGTTGAAAGAATCGGTCCAATGAAAGCTGAGAAAAATTGGCGATAGACACAAAAATAAAAACATATCATTGTAAAATTAATATCTTCTCAGCTTTGAATCAATGCCAAAAGTTAGAACAGTTTTAAAAAAGTAATCTTTGAAAGGCTAAAACATTTTCAATGATTTTTTACCAAAAATCGCCAATGTACGGATATATATATATATAATTTTTTCATGTTTAACGATAGTACAAAGATGGTAAATAATAAAACAAAGTTAATAAAATCAAAGTATAAATTACTCCATATAGTGTTACTATAAACCCTTTGTTTTATTTTATTTTACAAAGTGAACAAAAAATACATAAAATATTTCAGAAACTAATGTTAAATAGTCTAAGTTGTAAAGATAAAGATCAATAGTAAACACGAAAAAAAAAAGTCTACATCAATGTCTGATTTATTTATTCATACTAAATAAAATAAACTAAAATATTAGTGTTTGATATTATAATATCAATTACTAATAATGAAAGTTTTTTTAAATTGTAAAATATACATTTTTATGAATTCTTAAAAAGTTTTAACTTAAAAGTAGGGTGAAACTCTTAAATACATTATAATTCCATACAAAAATTAAAACATGATATGAGATTAAAAAAAGTAAAATAAAATATATTAGACGTCGACGTAACTAGAAAATTGTTCGGTGGATTTTTTGCTTTCTTTTATTTTACATTTCTATGTATCTAAAATATCACTAGTATAAATATTCAAGAATAACCATTTATGAATCTAAAAAACATACATAATTATTCCTAAAAGTTGTTTTATTTTGGGGCAGTTTTCATGTATCTTGGTTATATACAATTACATACAAGCTTAAGAGTTGTCAGTGATATTAGTTTGTAGTTTTTATGGATGATGCATCAAGTGTAGTAATTTAACTATGAGAAATTTTGAAATAAGTGTACAAAGAACTGTGCGAAACGAATCTCAATTACTTTTACAAAACTTTAAAACTCATCCACTTTAATTATTTTAGTTTTCATGTATTAATTCCCCTACAATATTTATTCTAGTGTTAAAAGTTTTGAATATTTTTCCAGTTTTACTTTATATTCAGCAAATTTTAATTTTATTGAGAAATTAGCTTGCCTAATATCTTACATTGTTACATCTATACCGTCAAGTGAATTTAGTATTTATTATCTAAATTTCACAGATGATATATTTAATATTATGCCATATTATGATTGATTAATTTAATATAATTATTTAGTAAATTTTACTTTAGCAAATATTGCAGGTAGTGAAGATATCCATGGCTTCAACAATGTTTTTTCCCCAAATTGGCCAATAGCTGTAACAATTGCATATGGTGTCCAAGCAATCATAAATAATGCTATCAAAATCAAAATTATATAAGAGGTTCTTAGAGCTGATCGTATAGGCATAGATTGATCTCGCCTGGGCACATTTAATGAAAATTTATTATCACAACTATCTGCAAACAAAAGTTTATGATGCAATAAAAAAAATTATATATGGTGTAGATAATTTGATATTCTACAAAAAATTACTTCTATTTAGACGTACGTTTTCAAATTTAAAAGAGAATTGAGAGTTAATTCCTTAATAGTTTTTATATTCACTATAAATAAACTAACAATACAAATTTATAAAGAAAGTTTTCATAAGGAGTGTCCTACAAGATCATAATATGAGTTTGTATCATAATAAATAGTTCAGTTACTATCACAGTTTAACCTCAATGCTGACTTTGTAATATGTGATAAATCGTATATTATTTTATAATACTATGGTTTTAAAAAGTTATAAAAATAATAATTTTTTTTCTTATTTCGAATCTGCAGTCTAAATTTTTATCCGTTGCATAAAAAAGTATAGTTTTAATTAAAAATAATGATTAATCATTGAAATTAAAAATATTAAAAATTATATATCAGTTATACATATTTTTCTAGTAATTATTTGTATGTTATTATTTTTTTGTATAAATTTGTACATTTGTGTTAATTTGTATAAAATTAACTAATTAATTAAGAAATTAATTTAATTATAAAAAAAATTGTTATTTAATTATCCAATATGTTTTGAGTCTTAAATATTTTAAACATTGATTTTTAATTTGGCTTAATTTCGATTTGGAATAAATTTATAATATTAAATAAACTTAGATAAGAACTGTAAAATATTTGTTAGTTCCCGTGGTCAACCTTAATAACAAATTAAAAAAAAAAACATATTATGGAAAAATATTTTTAAGTTGAAAAAAGTTTAATGTTATTAAGAAATTATCATCCATACATTTTTAAAAGAAATTTTAAGTATAAATAAAATATACAGTTAATAATAAAATCAAATAAGAATCATGAGCAAAGTAAATAACATTAGTTAGTTAAAAAAAAAAATACGCTAGACAACGGTCAAGAAAAATCCTATTATAAACAAAAAATATTGTTCACTGAATCAATAGCCAATAGTATATGACAGAAAGAGAACTCGTAGATAAATTGCAAAATATAGTTTTTTCCTGGAAAATTTATATGATTTTTCTCATACCTATGATAATGTTGGGTTTTATAAATGGTCTTAAGATAAATAAATTGAATTCAGAAAAGCAAGTATTTTTGAAAGCAACACAAGAGTGTTATAAAAAAATTTAAGTATAAGTAAGGTTAGAATTCAGAACATGGCAGTAAGTTATCATCATACTCATAGAATTTGATTTTTATCTGATTATTTATTATTTAAATTTACAGTAGAAAAATACTTTCTTTTTAACTCGCCTGAGCCTTGTGATCTAATGCTGCTATTGCAATCGGCCATTTCTTTGTTATGATCTAATATTGATACAACAATAAATACATAACAATATGCAATTATTAAAACTGGCAATAAAAATCCGAAGAAGAGTATGTAGATGTAATATAAACGGTTTGAAAGCGTTCTAGTTGTATAGTTCCATGAGCAGGATGTTCCGATTCCTTCTAAAACATACTCGGACCAACCAAGAAGTGGAGGTACTGTTATCATTAAACAATAAATCCAAACAATTGTACATACCTAGATGAATAATATTAAAATCTACAATCATGTATTGTCAATGTGCTTTTTAAAAAATTAAACATATAATACATTTATTACAATTAACAATTTATATGATTACATGATTATTAATAAATCGAAACAATCTAATTTTTACACGAAATAATAATAGCTGCAGTAACAATAGCTATTGTTAATATTGGAAATTTGGTTAACCAGCATTTAGTGTAACCGTTTTTAATTTTCTTTTATAAAAAAAGTCGTAAAAATTATTCTTAATTTTTTACTGAAAATTGATTTCAATTATCATGCTGAACCCAAAAAGTTAGGGATAGAGGCTCGGAACTCTATCCCTAACTTTTTGGGATCAGCACTACCTTATTTATTAGGCAGAATTTTTACACCGGATATCGATCTGATGCAACTTCATTTTAACTGAACGAACCAGCTAGAGGTCAAGGTGTGTGCCACCGTTAAAGTTTTCATATGGTCACCCATCCGGAAACTAACAGCAAACAGCGCAAAGGCGGCGACTGAATAATCTACTACGGGACACTACGTACCCATTTATTTTTTCATAGATATTGAAATTAATTTTCAACATTTTACTTTAAACATAATTATTAACTAACTGAAAAAAATGTTTTAACTACGCTAAATGTCTAAACAATATAGAGAAAATAGAAAATTTAATATTAAATAATATTAAGCAAATAAATGTTTTATAAATTTCTCGTACATACTTTAAATGCACCTTGTCGTGTTAATTTCCACGATCCAGGGACTGGCTTTGCTGTTATCACCATGTATCTTTCAACAGCAATAGTCGAAAGAGTAACTATAGATACCAAGCCAAATTGGCCGACTCCAAAAGCGTATATGTTGCATCCTAAGATAAACCGTATACAGTTTTTATTACTTATATTTATTACATTTTTTGAAGAGAAAAATTTATGTCGATCAAATAATTAAGTAATAGAAATATGTAAGTTAATGACCAAATATTATACAATGATATTTTTAACACTTAAATAATGACGAAATTGTTTTGAATTATTGAGAGTTAAGTAGAATATGATTCGAGTTTTGCGAGTTTTGCACTACATTTTAATTTTAATTAGTGAATAAACTAAAATACATTGTTTTTATTTAAATTTTCAAGAGGTTTTCTGAGCTATAATAATACAGGATTACAGAAAGTTTATAAATGACGAGAGACAACTTTTTAAGTGTATTTAAATATTAAATTATAATTATCCATTTTGTTTTTTTAACTTGATTTATATGATTTACTTGACTTATCAGTTTTAAAAAGAATAGGAAACATTAAATTATTTGATCAATAAAGTTTAAAGAAATATATATATATATATATTGTTTTCCCACAGTTAAATGTTGCTTATTAATAACTAATTGTTTGTTCATACATTTTTTCAGTTATTATAAATTACCTCACTCACGATTAAGTAGTATACTATGTCGTATTGACGATTCGTAATGAACAGACAGTTCATTTTATTATACATATTTTTTCCGGCTATAAAGTTGTTTATGTATATTTAAGATCTATATTCTTTATATCTACGCCGATTATATAAAACTAAATATTTAAGATACTACTTATATATACACATGTATATATATAATTGGAAGTTAATTGTTAGTAATAATAATTCTCAGCAAATACAAATTTTAATATTTCTTACCTATGTTATTGAAAATCCATTTTTGTTTGAATGATGAAACAACGGGCATAAAATGCAGTATAGATGTAGCAAAATCAGCAGACGCCAGGTTTAAAACAAAGGTGGAAAACGGCCCTTTTAGTTTTCTTATTCTAAAAATATAATTATTTAAGTCTCAGTATCAACCAAGGGCAGACCCAGAATTTTATTAATAATAACGTGCAAAAAGTTTTTAAACTTCAAAATTAATATTTTGCTAATATAATGTTCAAAATACTCTACATTAAAATATTTAAAATTTTGAATTTCACTAAAAATATAATATAAACTATTGTTAAATTTGTAAAATTATTTATACTATTGAGAAATGCTCACATGAATAAATGTATGACTTTTATAAAAAAAAATGTTTTATTAATAAATTACATAATATGTTTGGGTCTCTCATACAATAAGTAAAATTTCAAGATATTTTACATTATTATTTTTAAGTAACTATGAATATTTCAATTAATGGTACGTTCGAAACAAATGTATTCAATTTCTAACATTTAATAATTAATTTAGCTTTTGTATTGATAAGTTTTTGATTACGAGACCCCAATTAAACGGTTAAATAAGTTGTTTACCATAGCATAAAATTTTCTAGTCCAAACAATATTTTAGTATTATAGTGGAGTATTACTCATTATTAACGGTATTATATCCACTCGAATAATCTTTTAAACACCGTATTATAATTTATTATATATATTGTTTATGATTTGGAAAAACATTTTTCTTAATGGTTATTCTAAATTAACCTTAACTCATAACATCTAAAGTTTTCCATTGCGTAAAATATCTATTCCTCATTACGGACATGTACATATTTATTTAATTAAATTTTATACTAATTAGTTAATTTATCAATAAACTAAATTATTATAATAATGTGGTTTGACATTTTTTCAAGCCTTTTAAAACAAATACGGGCAAAATGTAAGAGACTGAAAGTGAGTTTTGTTATAATGGTTATCTAGTGGATTAATGTAATTTAACAAATGTAAAGGCTTGCTTTTGAGACTATCGAAAACAATAACAAATCGGTCCCGCAACAACTTAAGTTCTTTCTATTCAATAATGAATTAATGCTAATAGTGTGCATTAATATAATTAGAATCGTATATTTCATGTTATTTGTAGCTTAACTTGTTATTTGTTCATATTTTAGTTCTTACCTGGTAAATACTACCAACACCAAACCATTTCCGACTAATCCCACAATTCCTATTACTGATAGTATCATCCCGTAAGAAAAATATAATAGAGGGCTGGTTAATTTTGTTTCGTCGTCCCCTGAAAAATGACATTTTATATCCTGAAACACAAATTGAATATACAAACTTACAAATAATTTTCCTTTTCTATATTGAAATGAGAAATTTAGTAATAATTATCAAAACATTAATCTGTTGTAGCTTTTTAAAGTATATGTTGTGTAGTACTATTGTCTTTATTATTATATCATTTTTTTTATAGTAACTTTCAAAAGTATTATTCAAACTTTAGTTTTATTTTCGTATATATTTAGTTCTAAATACAGAACATAAGATTTCTTATCGTTTTATAACTTTTTACTTGCTAATTTTTAACTCTGAGAATGCAATTTTATTACAGTTAGTTTAATTAAGTCTAGTTGGTGTAATAAATGTATCCATGGGAAACAAGACTAATTATACTTAAAGTATTAACAGAAACAACAACTATTTTTATTCACGTTTATATGCATGATAAAATAAACAACAGTAAACAACCACCTTCAAATTTTAAACGTACTGTTTGCTCACTACTTCTTTTAAAGAATCACGAAATTACATTCAATGAAGAACTATGCGTATAAATATATAAATTGCGAATACATCACATGTGTATAGACATTGATGCTACTGTTTTTGTCGTAATAAAATCATAATCAACAGACTTTAATCAAAATTTATTTGTAATTCCTTTTTATAAAAATAATTATGGTTATACTTCATTTCAATCTTGAGTTTTACTTTTTCGAACATTATTTTTTTTATGTAAAATAAAATAGTAGAGTAGCTGTCATATAGGCATACTATGGCTCAACCAGAAATAAGATTTCCAGAATGACATACTAATATTTAAACACTCTCCGATGCATCAACAATTAGAAAAAATATAATGTTTGTTCTCAGATTGAGTATTTGTTAATATATTGAATTGTTTATTAATGAAAAATTTCATAATAATTTATAGTGTAATATTATATTTTCAATGTTTTTGCAAAATATTTATTTTGTTAACAATTCTTTCTAACTTAAGTTTTATCTAATAAATGACTAATGAATTTAAATGCTTGTTAAAGTTTTGTTTTTGAATATGATTCTTTTATAAACAAAGCTAAAGTTATTTCTTTTGTTGTGTAGTGATGGTCAACCACTAGTCCTTATTATATATGGTCAATAATCATGTATTTTTTATTTTTAAGTGATTTTTTTCAATTATTCTATAATGGCATTTTTTGAAATGCGAAAACCGCTTATAATTTGAGACTTAAGTTTATTTTGTTGTCCATGAAAGGGATGACTAGTAGTCCTATTATTTTCCTTGTTATTCGCCAAAAAACGGTATTGAACTAGTAATAAATGCACGTCATGCACCGCCGATTTATCAACTCGGTTATACTGTCCCTCTAAAATAAAATCAACTACCAGAAATAAATGGATTTGTTAGTTAATAATATAATTTTTTTCTAATTCAAGCCAAATAACTTAATGATTTAAAGTATTTAAGCAAATCTTTTTTTTGGCGGAAATATTTTTATAGGATAAATATATAGTACTAGATTGTTGTGTTTATGTTTTTAAATAGAACATTTCTGAAAATTCCTTTTTTATTTGGATTCCAACATGACTTACCAAAGGATAGGATATGTTTAAATGTATACTGAATTCAAGATTTTATATGGATAAAATATTTCAAGACAATAATTTTATTATATATTATATTTTATTTAACGGTACATAACCATTTTCTACATGACCTACATTCTGCAAAATTTTTCTAAACATATAACAAAAAATCTACTACAATAAGTCTCAAAACTAAATAATAATAATTATTTTTAGTTGAATTTATTATATAATTCGGGTGTAAGTTATGATGACGCCCTCTCCTTGTGCCTTCGATGTATTATTTCTCGTAGTTAAATGACATGGCACACCTAGAAAAAGACCTCTTAACTCATTACGAAGTAATTGAGCAAACGACTATTCGGAATACTCCCTGGCTTTTCTTTTCAAGTTCAACTTAACCTTCTTCGTTTTTCACTCGTTGTAATTGAATGGATGTTCATAAGGGGTTTTTCGACGTCTTTGAAATTTATTATTTCTGCTCCACGTGCTGGTATATTCGTAATTACACGAGCCTTACATTCTTTTGAACGCAATTGCCGACACTTCCAATGACAATGAACACATGGCCAGAAAGAATTAGAAAGTCTCTAATAATTTCTGCGCTCATATTTTACTAGTAGAAAAACTACTAAAAATGCCAAGTTACAACAACTTATTATTTAATTTAATTTTCTATTGTTTAATACGTTGCTATAGTAATGTACTTATTATACATAAATCGAACAATTTTTACAAGTTATGTGAAAATTTCGGAAAAACGTATGTTGAAAAATGTACCCGGATCATACTTAACCAGCATGAGATAATGACATCATACAATAAACTATTGTACCACCAAAGATATTATAATATTAAAGATTATACAATGAAAAACGTGATACGTAAGATTGGGTACATTTTTCCAAAAACAAAAATTTTGCATGACCTAACTTTTGCCTATATCACAGTACAGGGTGATCCATTTACCATTGACCAGCAAATATCTCAAAAACTATTTATTATTTTAATAATTTTTTTTTTAGTTTATTTTTTTAGTTTTTTAGTTTTTTTAGTTTTATGTAACTAAAATAATTTAAAAAAAAATTATTAAAATAATAAATAGTTTTTGAGATATTTGCTGGTCAATGTTAAATGGATCACCTGTAGATCATAATTTACATATTACACTTTACATGGTATTCCTTTAATATTATACTATCATTTATGAATAATTTATTGAAAAATATCGATTTTCAAAACAGGTTAGGTACTTTTAAACAAACTTTCGTTAAATAATTGTCGAAACGTGCCTATATAAATACTAGTTGACTTAACGCTGTCGATAAAATTAGATCTGGAGCCCCTAATTTTGGATTACAAACTATTACGAATTTTTTTAGGATAGAATGTAAGCCCTTTGATATTAATTTCTAGGAGGATTTTTCAAAACAAGTTATTGTAATTTGTGAAAAGAAACTTTCATATTAAGAAATATGGAATTATTGGTCAATTGTTTTTCATAGTTTTCATTCTACTTTGAGAGGCGTCCCGCAGGATACTACGACAAAAGATAAATTTATACTTATAACAGAAGATTATGAAATTTTGACCAGTGCATCTTTCACCTAAAGCTGTTTAATTGAAATGTTGTCAGAATATAACTAAGGAACCGTATTTTACAAAAGCTTTTGAAATATTTTTAAATTTGAATAAATATACAGTTTATTTACGGATGACTAATAAAAATTCATTTATGTAAATTGAATGACATAAGTTCAGACAAAAATTTAAAAACAAAAGTACAAACAAATGATAAAAAAATATATCAAAGAAAAATTTTTAATTTTAAATGATAAAAATGTAATAAAATAATAAAAAACTCGAAATATTTTAAAATTAGTAATTGTAATTGGGCTACTAACTGTAATTGTATTGAAACTTTTTTTAAATCAAATTTACACTTTTTATTGGGTAAAAACTTTTCAATGCATACATTTTTTTTTTAGTTAATATACTAAGATAATACTAATAAGTTAGAATACTACTATTAGTATTTTAATAATATTTTATTGTTGATCAGGCCTACTATTCTAATCCTATTTTTTGTCAAATAATATTGATACATTATTAAAATGACTTAAACTAGTATACCTGACACAGCAAACTAATATTTTTATACTGTTCTTTAGTTAAATGGTTATTTAATTTTTAAAAAGATGTTCAAATTTTATTTCTTAAAATTATGTCAATTATTGAATTAACTTTATTTTATTTTATCAGATAATCTGTGTCCCCTTGAATCTATTTTTCCATATTTAATATGATTTTTTTGTAGCTCGTGTTACGGAAATATAAAGTGATTTATTTATTGTTGACAATAAGATTTTTCTAAAATAATAATAATCTATAGAATTTTTTTTTTGATTTATTTAATCGGTTAAATATTTTTTTATGTTTTATTCCTTATAAGAGTTTGAATTTTATTTTTTTAAATGGCAATATACATATTTATGTAATAGATATTGACACGGAACCGTGTTTCCCTCAGCCGCACATCACGTTATCAACCTAAATGAAAGTGTATCGGGATCTGAATCATAAGTGCACGGTGGCCTAGTGGTAAGGTTTGTCTAAACGACGCCTTGGGCGCGAGTTCTAATCCCTTACCGTGCCTCTTTTTTTCACATGACTTCCGGTACATTTTCTATAACCGGCCGTCAATCCCCGGCGGCCGTGTTAATATATATATTAGATATTTAACTAGTTCATATTATAGGAAATGATTCAACCAGAGGTTGTAACCTTGGGGCTTTTATAAACCGGTTTTAAATAGGTCCCTAAAATAAAAATATAAGAAATACAGATCTTATTGTGTAAAGTTTTTGGTAAGGGTTCGGTAGTTAAAAGAGCTTTTTAAAAAATAAATTGGGATTTCGGTTGGGTTCTTTACTATTCCGTAAGAAATGTTTTTGAACCAGTTCTTATAGATTCTTGTTTCAAATTCTTATTCCAACTAAAAAAATGACTAGTCAATAACAAATTCCACACTGTGGTTCAGTTAATTTTATATCTGGATGGGAGGCTAGTGCGGCTGAATAATGCGTCGTGAAAAAAAACAACATAACTTCAGACTATATATAAAATGTTAAGAACTCCTAAAGTACCGGTTAAATAGGTTTTATCGGCTAGTCATGTTTTTAGTTGATTAATTTTCTAATATATGAACTAGTTATATATGTATATTTTGATTAAAAAAATAAAGTTAGTACCCTTATGCGATAGACTTAAGATATATTTAACACAAAAACCAAATAATACTACTAATAAACAAAATACATTTTTGTTTCAAAATAATTATAATTTTAGGAGAAATTTAATGGCTTAGTGCCAGTCAAAGTAACGAAAAGATTGATACATATATACTATCGAAAAAAAATATTTATCAATGGTGTAGAAACATTAATACAGACATATTTTATTGCTTTTATAATAAAAATTTCATGTTGTTGGCGTGAAAAATATTTCACGTTCTTTCAAAAGAGTATTGAAATAAATTATTATAAAGTGTGTATAAACATATTTCCATGTGTTTATCATTTTGTAATATTAAAAAGCAATTGCATTATGAAAAGTTAAATATTACATTCATAATGTTAAGAGATAGTATTTGTATAATCTAACATATTTTATTAAAAAAGTTCAAAACATTCAGTTAATCGATTATTTTTAACTTACTATCTTTTTATTACTAATACGTGTCTTTTCAACATAAAAATATATTTTTACAAGATACCAATTTATTTAAAAATTATAATAATTATTATTAGTATTTGTATTAAAAGGAAAAATCATTATTTGTTTTAGAAAAACAATCCATTGATATATTTAAAGTTAAGATTATTTTGATTTAACTTATAGACTAGCTAACTCAGTAAAGTCTACATATTTTTTCATTTGAACCTTTTTTAATTAGGAATTATAAATACTTACAACATAATAAATCACCATTTATTTTAGCTTCGTTGCGAAGCTGATAAGGTATTAATTTTATTATGATGTATTTTTTTTTTGTCTGTCGCCACTTTATCTCAGCTCACCCCATACATCAAAATATCACAAATCATATCTAGAGGAAAACATTACCCTTAAAAATTGAAAAAATTTCCCTCGTTCCCTGTAAATGGACAAAGTCACCCAAAAAATTACAATCTTTAAAATCAGTAAATTTTGACATTTTTTTCATTTTTTTTTTAATAGAAACCTTAGGTATTTGCCTTTCATTTGATATAATTTTATTGAAATTCTAACACGTCACCTACCCACAGGGGGGATTCAAAATAACAACTCTTTTACAAAAATCAACTTTATATATACTTGTTGCATCTGATATACTTTTTTTTAAATCAAACAATTTCCCCTTATACTAGGAGCGTTCAAAACTTGAAAAATACTTATAAAAATTAGAACTTTTTTAACTTAACTTTTGAAAATGTTCCGGTAACATTGCGTCTTTTAAATATACATTAAATTAAAGCTGAAGTTACCTACTATAAGTTAGTAAAAAAAAATTGTCCCAACCACCTATCTTCTATGTGCAATTGGTAGTCGAAGTTAAACAAAAAATAGGAGTTACTTTTGCTTTTGGAATAATCCACTAATTTCTTAATATTAAACAATAACTACAGATTTGCATGGAAGCATTTCTTTTAATAGTAATTTTAATCACTGTCGGATAACATCTATTCTTTTCCCAACTATGCCATACTTACTACCATTTTTTTTTAAATTTATTTTGAAAATCATAGTATTAGTACATCATGATATATGTAACTTTTGAAATAATTTTAGTGCCAATGTAAGTATGGTAAACAATGGAACATTTTTTAATAATTCTATAATGTCATGTCATGTCTAAATAAAATAAATTTAATCGCATAAAATTTATTAAAGTATCGTAGCTATTTTTTTTATTTGCATTCTATGTTGAAAGTTACAAAAATATTACAAAAAATAAATTAATAAAATGTTTATATAAGTAAATATTAAGTTCAATTTCTATAACAGTATTTTTTGTAGTTAAAAAATTTAATTTTAAGAAGTAAAAATAAAAAATAAAAAAAGTAATTTGACTATGACTGTTTATATCAGCAGCCATTCAAATGGAAAATACATACTTCATCAGAACAAACAGCATTTGGAGAAGACATATTGGTTGTCATAATATCACTGTTAGTTGTTTGGTACAAATTAATTCATTGTATTTGTTCTTTTGTATTTGTTTACACTATACCTAAATTAAAAAAATATATATAATTTCAAAACTCATTATTATTTTTCTTGTTAATTTGAATATATTGCATATAAATTTTTTAGTAATATTTTTTCATCAGTAAAGTAACTTTTAATTTTTAATCTTTTGTATACTGTAAAAAATAATGCAAAAATTCTTATACGTCAGTATGATATTTTTAATATGGACATTAATTTTACACATAAGTAACGTAGTTTTGACATAAAGTATCAAAAATTCCAACACAAATATAGAATTTATTAAAAATTTCAATTACGTTGTACGCGTTAAAAATTTCCAGATTATGTATGTGAATATTGGAAAGTTTATTTTTAAAAGTGCAAGTCAATGAAAAAATAAAGCAGTTTCTAGCAATTTCATATTCTTTTACTTTTAACAAAACTTTAATATTTAAAAATCATGAAACAAAGTTTTCTATAAGAGATTTAAATATACATAATATACATTTTGTGTAAGTAAAATTTACAAGAAGTCCTTGCAAATATTGAGTGTTAAATTCTAATCAATATATTCAAATAATTAGTAGAAAAAAAAACTGAATCCACTTATGCGAACTCTCAATATTTTTTAATGAGAGATGTGTACTCTATTGATAAAAGAGTGGTATAAAACCAGGTCATCATCCCATCAGTTAAGAGTCGAAAATATCATGAGTAGTATTTGTAACTATAACACATATAAAATTACATAACGTTCAAATATTGAATAACGTTAAACTTATTTATAAGATAACAATATGAAATATTCAAATATTAAACGAATACAAACATTTTAATCTGACTCCTGTTTGTAACTTAACCACACATTTTTCTTGGAAGTTTGAAAATTTATAACTGTTACACTGTAAAAAATGATAAAAAATTTACATACATCAGTATGATACTTTTAATGTACAGGTTAATTTAACACACAAGAAGTACATACAGTATCAAAAATTCGTACATAAATAGGGCATTTATAAAATTTTTAGGAGAATTAAAAAAATTTTAATTTTTTATCATTTTTTATGGCTTTAGTTCTTTACTGAATAATAATGTTATATAAAAACAACAGGAGGTGATGTTTTATGTGCATAAACACAAATTTTTATTTATGTTTTACTTGAATATCACAAAAAATGATTTTTTTATGAATATTTTAATAAATTTAATAGCTTAAAAAAAACGGTAGCACTGTGGAGTCGAGGCACAGTGTAGACAAGGCATAGATGGGACAAGTATAGATGATATTTGACAGTGATTAAAATCACTATTATAAGAAACGCTTCGATGCAAATCTGTAGATAGTGTTTCATTTAGAGAAATTGGTAGATTATTTCTAAAGCAACAATATCTTATTCCCTTAATTTTATCACGATTAGTTATTTGATTTATAAATATAATATATGAATAAATAATAATTATAGTAATTAAATTTAGTATGAAATTGATATTCATTAATTTAATATTGTAATTTTTACGGAGATCTTATTATAAAAATACTAAAGTAGTTGTATATTTCTTTACTTTTTATTCCAAAAGTAAAATTTACTCCTATTTTTTGTTCATTTGTCAAAAAGTTATGGCAGTTTTAAGTACAAAAAATATCCTTATAAAAGGTGATTTTTATCGCAAATATTACATTTTTTTTTTAATTTTGACAGCAATTTGCACATAGTAGATAAGTCGTCGGGACAAATTTTTTTTTTTTCATTTTATAATACATAAAATAAGTTTTAATTTTATATATGTTTAAAGGACGCAGTATTTCCGGAACACTTTTAAAAGTTAAGTTGAAAAAGTTAGTTTTTGTAAAAAAGTTGTTATTTTAAATCCCCCCCAATGAGCAGGTTAAGAGTTAGATTTTCAAAAAAATGATATCAAATGAAAGGAAAATATCTAAGGTTTTAGTAAAAACAAAAATTATGTTGATTTGTTTATTTTTGAAAAAGTTATGGAAGTTTTAAGAAAAAAAAGTGAAAAAAATGACAAAATTTACCGATTTTTAAATTTCTAATTTTTTTAGGATATTTCCCCCATTTGCGGAGAACGATGGAAAATTTTTCAATTTTTAAGGGTAATGTCTTCAACTAGATACGATTTATGATCTTTTGACGTATCATTGAAAGAAATCGGTTCGGTGAGAGCTAAGAAAAAGTGGCAACAGACATAAAAAAAAAAAAAAACACATCATAGTAAAATTAATACCTTCTCAGCTTCGCATCGAAGCTAAAATAAAATTTAATAGTAACAATATGATATATCCAGAGTTATTTACAATTATGCTTATTTTTGACATGTTGTTTGCATTTTCTTAGTTTTGTATAAATTTAAAGATCAATATTCTTGTAACATTAAAAATCAGATTTAAATATCACTTGTTTACAGTGTCGTTAATTATATTGCCACAGATAAAAACTATGTTTTATTGGCGCCGACTATTGACCGAAAGTTTACAGTTCACGACGACTTATAGGTTGTTTTTCCTCACCAAAACCTTAGAAAAAAAAGTTCTAACGAAATTTCTATCAACAAATACGAATCATTTATCACTTTTTAACCACTTTAAATAAATTTACTACGCCCATTAAATAGTGAGTTTGCTAAAATAAAAATTTAAGTTCCATTAAATGTATTATAATTATACTTTTAAAAACGGTTCACTGAAATATGAAATTTTATGCTGTAGAACCATTTTATTTTAAAGTGATCTAATATTATTGAATGAATTATTAAGCTTTTTAGCTTGTATTTAATGTAAACACTAATGTTAGCTTATATTACTTTTAGAAAGTGTTTTACTGCAGATAATTTACACAAATAGCAACTTTATATTAAAAATTTAAAAATTGCATTGTAATTTTTTTAATATAAATGATAATCTACTAGTAAATAACTATTCATAGAAACGAAAAACGCTTATTTATTACGTATAGCGTACTTATGTATGAACTCATAAAATATTTAAGACTTCTAACTATGATTAATTTTATGATATTATTTTTTTTTTTTATTTAAAGTAATATATTGAACATCTTTTAGCTTCGATGCGAAGCTGAGAAGGTATTGGTTTTACTAAGATGTGTTTTTTTTTTTATTTATTTTTTTTGTGTCTGTTACCACTTTTTCTCAGCTCTCACCGAAACGATTTCTTTCAATGATACGTCAAAAGATCACAAATCGTATCTAGTCGAAGACATTACCCTCAAAAATTGAAAAAAATTCCCTCGTTCCCCGTAAAAGGGGGAAACCTCCAAAAAAATTACAAATTTAAAAATCGCTAATTTTCGAAATTTTTTCAATTTTTTTTACTTAAAAGTGCCATAACTTTTTCAAAAATAACCAAATCAACATAATTCTTTTTTTTTATAGATGCAGGATGTCTTTATCTATCATTTGGTACATTTTTTTTTTTATATCTGACCCTTTACCTGCCCACAGGGGGGATTTAAAATGACAACTTTTTCACAAAAAAATAATTTTTTCAACTTGACTTTTGAAAATGTTCCGGAAAGTCTGACACTTATATATATATATATATATATTAAATTAAAGCTAATGAAATATACTTTATCATGGAAAAAAAAAATTTTGGACTTTATTTTATCTTCAAGGTGAAAATGGCTACCAAATGCTATTTTTGTGTGAAAATTTTCGATTTTGTATTTTATATTTTTAACTTTATTATACTATAACTTTTTGAAAAATGCATGTATCAACATACTTTTTCTATGAGTAATACTATTTTTTATGAGTATTTTTTATAAGCTTATGTAATATACTTTAATTTGAAAAAAAAAATTTGACCTCTGGACTTGTCTTCGTGGTGAAAGTTGACATCAAAGTTAATAAAAAATTACGATTTTTGTAAAATAATTTTTTTTTATATTTTTAACTTAATAATGCTCTAACTTTTTCAAAAATGAACATATCAATATAATTTTTTTTTATATAGATGCTTGATGTCTTTACTTATCATTTGGTACATTTTTTTTTTTATATCGACACTTAACCTGCCCACAGGGGGGGATTTAAAATGACAACTTTTTCACAAAAAATTAACTTTTTCAACTTAACTTTTGAAAATGTTCCGGAAGGTCTGACACTTTTATATATATCTTAAATTAAAGCTAATGTAATGTACTTTAATTTGAAAAAAAAAAATTTGACCTCTGGACTTGTCTTCATGGCGAAAATAGCTACCGAATGTTTTTTTCGTGTGAAAATTCTCGATTTTATTATTTATATTATATTTAACTTTATAATGCTATAACTTATTGAAAAGTTTATGGATCCACACAATTTTTTTATGACAAATAATATTTTTTAATAAACCCTTTTTCATTCGACATACTTTACCTTAATCAGGATATTAATAAGGAATCAGCAGATCAAGTAGCTTTTGGAATAAAACACCAATTTTTTTAAAATTTAACACTATCTAAAGATTTGCATCGAAGGGTTTTTTTTTTATAGTGATTTTAATCACTGTCAGATATCATTATACTTGATCTAACTATGCCTCGTCACCACTATGCCGCGACCCCCCTGTGCTGGTTTTTTTTTTGAGATATTTCTTTTAGAATAAATTTTACTAAAACATCATATTTGTTGTTATTTATGATAAAATAATGACTTTAAATTATGTAATTTAAGTTTTATTTTAGTAAAATTTTTCTTATTATAAACTAAATTTTAAAACGATAACAACTTTTAATTTTTTAAATGCAAATGCCAAAAGAATTAATATTAGCAGTGGAGAATTAGGGAGGAGTGAGGATCATGAAGTCCAAACTCATGGATATAGCCATAGTATGGGGGGGGGGTTAGTGGAGGGGTGAATTACCCCCTATTCTACATTTTAAAACTGTCTTGATTCCTATACAAAGTTTCTAAATACGCCACTGAAAAGTAGCCAGTCATTTAAAACATTATATTAAAACATTCAAAATTAAATTAAGGAAAACATTTACAAAGTTTTCCGTTTAATATGAATAAATATAAACATAAATTAAAAAATAAATAAATAACATTTATCTTTTAATTTAAATTATTAAATATTATTTTTGTAAATTTATAACTCTCATATAGCAATTTTGATGTATAACCATTTTCTAAATATTCCTATAATATATTTTTACATTATTCATTTTATATTGAGCGTTAGTTGCACTATATAACACTACCTTATTATATATTATAATTTATTGTACATGCTTTACTTTTGTTATACTAATTACCACTAATTATTTCTGTAATTCATTACGCTAATTAATACTATATAATCTACTTCTTATGTAATTGTCAAATTATATTTTCATAATAAAAGCTAATAAAAAAAAAAAAAAAAATTTTTTTAAATATTTCAAAATAAATAATATAAAAATATCTTAGAAATATAATAAATAATTTATTCCATTTGAAATATGATCAACATAATGTCACAAAGTAATTTTTTAAATATTTGTTCATGTATATTTTGAGAATATATGAGAGAGAATAAATATAATATTAGAATATGAATAACATAAATTCATTTATAGTACCTAGTAAGGCAATTTTTAAGTGCAAGTTATTATTCAAATAAATTTTTTTAACTTTATAAATAGATGTTATCAGAGGCATACCAAAGTCATTTTTTAAGGGATCAACCAAGTTGATTTAATTAACTGACTAATTTATTAACATTCGATATGGCCATCTATAAATTTATAAATGTCTTTTTAAAAAACGTAATAAAACATAGGAAATATTTTTGTATTGAAAAATAAAGGGTTTTGTTGTAAACGTGTTTATTAACCCCAAAAAAATTTCAGAGAAGCCCATAATAGTTTTTCTATTAATCAATAGCTTCAATTTATTGTGTAACTTACTATAGACCAGTGTCCTATTTAGGGAGAGAGATATAACGGAATGTGCCATCCATTGACGGTACTTTGTTAATGGAATAATGTTTGTGACTTTTTTTATTTGTTTTAGTTGTTAGTTCCAAATAAATAAAAAGTAGTTACAAAAATTTTCATGTTAGCAGGTCAATTGAAAAATTTCTTTGGTATCCTCCCCTTTATAAATATTTAAATATACCCTTGAATATATATATATATATATGTTTGCAATTTGCTTATTTCGTGTAATAATAAATGATGAGCCAGTAATATTATTAATTTTAATACGATTTCATTAAGAAATATATATTTTTTATTTTTGAAAAACTTTTATGATATGAATTAAAATTTTATTTTTATTACAGCGATATCTTATTTTAAGCTATTTTACTTAGAATTATTTAACTACAATTACAAAACATAATTTCTGTACAAATAACATTTATTTTCATTGTGTACATTTCCGAGGAATTACTTTAAGAATTATAAATAATTACTAAATATTTTTTTTTATAATCTTATATTATCTTAAACGGAAACTCGATTGATACATGTGTGTATATACTAAATGTATATTAAATAAAACTAAACTTAAGACAGAAAGGATTTAAGAAATAAATGCTGATTTATACTTAACTTCCACTCAATTTATGTATATATTAATTTTTGTGAGTTATTTAATTAATAATAGACACCATATAATTGTTTTTTGAAAATAAATATAGTAATAAAATTAATATGATATTGGCTTTTTAAAAAGTTTACCACACAACGCAGAAGTTAAAATTTTTAATTAAAATATGCAATATGTCACCAGCTATGTAAGTCATGGACCTTACCTATTGAAAAAAAATTCAGCAACACAAAACTTCGGGGAATTCCTTCATTTAACGTAATTTGCAAGTACAAAAGAAACCATATACAGGAAATGTATTTTTAATAATGATCACAATAATTATTAATTAGAATCATGTCGATCGAAAGTCTATTCGAATTTAAGTAAAAATTAAATTTACCCATAAGGAGTTATTAAATAAACTAACAGTAGTTAAAAACAACGATTTTGCCGTTACAATGTTCGAGCACCTTTTTGTATTGAAATTGCAAAGCAGACTACCACTAATATTGTGAGTAAAGGGCATCTCGTCACGGGTAGCGCGTCGACAAGTAGAACAGATTTATACTCTGTCCTCCCTCGGATCCATCCAACCTTCCCTTTACATACGACTTACACTTGGTCTATTTTAAGAAAATGCATTTTGCACAATGGACTTTTAAACGGTAATTTAAAGCATAAGTATAATAAGCCTTTTTGACCTTGATCGTTTGGCGTACGATGTCTGAAATACCATTGGAATAAATTTAATTCGTTTTGCAGTTATTTCAATGTGATATGACAGATTTGGTTTTCCGACTTTCTTGTATGTATAAGTTGACAAGATACATAAAATGTCAACTTATCTAAAAATTAGTTCAGGTAAAATAGTATGCTGAAAGTATTTTATTTGTAACAAATATTTATATATACATATTTAAATATACAAACTGGATGTTGATTTTTCATCATTCTAGTCGCATTTAAAATTGATTTTTTCTATATGATCAATTTTAAGGAAAACATTCATTTTCTCAGAAATATTGATCATTTTTAACTTTTGTTCTAAGAAAAAAGGTTTGGTTCAAAGTACTATGCAATTCCAAGTAATCAAGTCATATTTAATCATTCCCTCAAAGATAACTCTAAACTTTAATTTACTTAAATGAGTACCAATAATTTTAACTTTGACACGGCCGGGGTATTACCATCGGACTGATTTAGATATCACTCGGATCTAGACGGTAATACACCGACCGTGCATTACCTAAATTGCACATTAACAAAACCCGAGATGCCTTGTCGCTTATCGGCGACCGTCGGCATTGACATAAATACCAATCAAGTCCGGCGGCCGCTGATCAGTCTGTGATTAACAATATCGTTATATTTACACTCATGTAATAAAGTGCATAATATATATATATATATTATTTATAAAAAAGACTTCTTTTGTTTTTCATTGATTATTATTATTATAAGATTAATAAGATGTTACCGTAATAAAATAAAATAAAGTTAACACTAACTTTATTTTATTTCTAATTGTTGTCATACGTTACCGCTTTTGTGACAACTTTGTGATATGACAAGGAAAAAAATTGAAAACATTTTCTTTTATTTTAAAACTTGAGGTGTTGGAAGTACAGATTAAAAAAAACTGTTTAAAATATCACATTAGACTTATAATTATTGTCTTACTCAAAATTAATCATTCTATATACATATATATTTATTATAACAACTATTATTGTAAACATGCAAATTGCTAAAAAAAATCCATAAATATGACATTGCAGGCAATTTAAAAGTAACTAGTAAGTCGCTTGGTAACAAAATACTTTATTTTCATTTTAAACTAATAATATTTTTAAATCATTAATTCAACATATTATATGTTTACCACTGATGTTGGTAATATTGTTCTCAAAATATGTACACATGTTTTTTTCGTATTTTATGAATTAAATATTATTTAGTTAAATAATAATTTAACTGAAACATTGTATTTTTAGTTTTAAATAATATAAGCCATTAATGATAAATTTTTATTATAGCAATTTTTAGATTAAAAAAAATTGTATACATTTTTTTAATTGAAAAATAAACAATTATACAAATTGTATATAAATTTAAACAGTCCATTTTATATGTAACAATTTATCTTTATAAAAAGTAGTTAACTTAATAATAATTAAAAAATATTTGAAAAAAATCTTCTATTTATAACTGAGGAAATGTTTATCAAGACCCCTGGTTTACTGTTGGGTGATCTTAATAGCATGACTAGACTAGATCAGGTGCAGCAGAGCCGAAAATGGGTGACAGTTTCTTTTTATCAAAATACAGTAGAGCAAAAGTCTCATTTCGCCCTACAAATTGAATCCGACAAAAAACTATTATTGTTAAAGATCTATGTTAAGCTTTTAAAAATATTTTTAAAGTTTTGATTAAAAAAAAACCAAGCATAGTGAGGTCGCATCAAAGTCGGAACGTGATATAGTTTAGACAGGTGCAAATGAAATCTGCACGCTAATATAAAACGCTCCGTTGCAAATCTGTAGAAAGTGTTTAATTTTGGAAGAAATTTTTGAATTATTCCAAATGCAAGATCAACTACTATTTCCTTAATTATTCCTAATTACAAATTTTATGATTTATGAGTATAATTTGTTAATAAAAACTTATTATAGCAATTAGAAACTAGTATATTATTGATTGTCAATAATGTAATATTTATGGAAAAATTATAAAAAGTTGTTAAGTGTTGTATACTTATTATCTCTATAGCAAACATGTATCAAAATTGTAAATATAGATTTATTAAAAAAAAAGAAAATTAATTTGAGTATTCTGACCGTCGATAGTTAATTATTATTTCAGTTATAAAATTGAAATACTTCCAAAGGCATAAGGATAAATTTTAATTATAAGTCATTAGAAGATAGTTTTTTTTTTTTTGAATGGGCTGCGCCATTTTTTCAATCAAGGATGTTAGAGGCGGGCACAGTCCGACCAGAAGTTTAGCAAAATTACATGCATAATGGTATAGAAATTATTTTTTGCATGAAAAATAGTAAAATTTAACCCCCCCAAAAAAATTGATCACCAATTCTTTTAATATATATTTTTAATAATTTAAAGTATTGATTGGAGGTGAGGCACGGGTACTGCTTCTTTTATCACTAGATATTTCTTGGCCTCACTCTTCCTTTCGCCTCCTTAGGTAAAAAATGTTAATCACTTCTGAAACATTAATTCAAAAGTTGTTATCGACCAGTTATTTTTATCTCTACATTTTCTATTTTATAAGCTAATTAAATATGTATGTTATCATTAAAAAAAATTAAGTTGACATCCTTATAACACATAAGGGATGAACATAAAAAATATTTTATAACAAATAAATTAAGACACATATACAACTTCCACGGTCATTTGCACATAGAAGATAAAATAATATAAACTTTGATTTAACATATTAAATTAACATATAAATTTGGAGTATTTCCGGAGTATTTTTAAAAGTTAATTTGATAAGGTTAACATTTAATGCAAAAGTTGCTATAATGAATCCCCTGTGGCAAAGTAAAGTATCATTGATATTTGTACAATAATTTTCTTCTGTATCTACTTGCATATTTATTATTTATAACATTTTTATAGATGCTAATTAAACATACAATGGAGAAAAGTTAGCAACCTTAAATAAAAATATTTCTATATACTTCACAAAAAATTTTATATTTTAAAAATGTTTCTCCCCTTTATACGCCTAAAGTAAAAATTTAAAAAACTGATCGTTTATAATGTCATAAATTCGAAAGTAAACTGCCTATAATTTTTGTGATTGTCTGTTCATCTTTTTTCTTTTATCGCGTAAGAGAAACATGATTGAACCTTTTTTGTTACAATGGTGTCAACAACTTATTTGTATCACTAACCGTTAGATAAGGCGAGCAAGGAGAATAAATACAATTAAATTCGAATTGTTTATGGGTTTTGATCTTTCTCCAAAAAACTGACCATTTTCAATTTGAAATCGTCGTTAGAATGGTGTTGGTACTTTTTCAATCCTTCTGTCATTCACTGAGATAGAATGGACACGTTTTTATATTTAATGTAGATTCGAAAACGACTAGTAGCCAATTGTTATCGGTGAAGCATCCAGACCATCACATGAGTCTTTTCAGAGATTGGATATCATTTTATTTAATTATATTTATGCGATAGGCTGTATTTTTATTAATTATTTTTAATGTACTATAAATTTAAAAATCTTTATGTGTGGAGAGCATGCATTACCTTTTTTTTGTAGCCAACGCTAAAAAGTTTTTATATTAATTAAAATTAATAGATCTGTTCAAATACCGTGGCTGTGATGTTTATTGTATTATTTGATTTTTGTTTAATTATTTTATTTTATTTTATTGTCAACCTTTTTTTTTTTTTTTTGTAGACATAATTTTTGATATATTTCTATTTTTGTTCACGGGAACTTAATTATTAATTAGCCCTAACTAAACAAATTTGGTAGGGTTCTAGTTCACATTTAAAAACTTCATTCAATGTAAAAAATCTTCATTTCATCTTAGAACGTAAAGGTTAAAACGAGAGATTCTAATTTCTCCGTAGAACGTATGCCAATTAAAAAAAAATTTTTTGTGATCAATCAATAAAAATATATGACATTTTGATTATATATGTTCAATTTTAGAAGCCATTGAAATGCTAAAAATTTTTAAAGAAGCCTTAGTATACTTCTATTTTTGAAAATTCTATAGAAATATATGTTTGATATGTTTTGATACACCCACCCGATTCAGTATATGCAATTCGATTTGATTAATACTTTTTACAATTTTAATCAGTTAAGAATAATGGTAGTATATTATAAAAAAAAAGATTGTTCCTGCAAATATAAAGATAGCGTTATTTACATTGTATTTTTTGAGTTCTACTCTTAACTTCCATGATAATGACAGTTTTTATAACTAATTAATTGTATTAATTATTTAAAAAAATATATCACAAAATTGTTTTTTTAATTTATACTTACGCACGCATTTATAAAAAGAAATTAATTGTTAGAAGTATTCAGTCCTAAACTTTTTTTTTTAGAATGTTTTCACAAACGATTATTTATTTTATTTGTTGCTTAATTTATAAATTAAACAAGCGTACTCAAATATAAATACTCATCAATGTTCAAAAAGTTAATAAATTCAGATCCTTTGAATTCCAACCGGCTTGTATTATATTAGATTTTAAATTTTAAATTTTTAGGTTGAATTTGTCAGATTATTCTCAAAGGAACCTTTCTTTTTTTTTTTGTTGTTGTCCCATAATATAGCAGCGATGGCACTTAATAGGTCGGTAAATTTTGAAAGAATAAGAATAATGAATTAATACTCAAATTATTGGTATTTTATTTTTATATATTCTAAATATCTTATATGTTGAATTAAAATCCATTCATAATCATTAATATGTTTGCATATTTAACACAAAATTGACAGTGGTTAAATTGT